AGTTGAGGGAGAAATAATCAATGTAAAAAGTATGATAGATCTCTTACTATCCAACACTACAGTAGAAATTATACCTTCCTTCACTTGTTCATGTTTAGAATAATTGTCATCTGACCATCTCCACACAGGCCCAAAAACTATAGAGTCTAGCGCAATTCACATATGTGTGGAAAACAGGAGAGCGTGATAGATAGCGCCATAGATGTCTATGCCTATAAAGGCGAGCCGGAAGCACCTGACCATAACCCATGTTCTCCTAAGTAATAGTTTCTGGTTACTGCAGGCTGTGTTCTAGAATTCCATCTAGAGAAACAGGGTAACTCTAACTGTGGCCATGCAATGAGAAAGTTTAACTTCACTGAAGAGGTAGAAAATGGTGTTGGATAGCCCAAGTATGGAAAGAGGCCAAATGTCCATCGATGGATGAATGGATAAAGAAGATGTGGGGTATGTATACAATGGAGTATTACTCGGTAATCAAAAAGAATGAAATCTTGCCATTTGCAACACCTTGGAGGGAACTAATACTAAGCGAAATTAGTCACTTGGAAAAAGACAAATATCATATGACTTCACTCATATGTGGAATTTAAAATACAAAACAGATGAACGTAAGGGAAGGGAAGCAAAAATAATATAAAAACAGGGAGGGGGGAAACATAAGAGACTCTTAAATACAGAGAACAAACTGAGGGTTGCTGGAGGGGCTGTGGGGGGATGGGCTGAATGGGTGAGGGGCATTAGGGAGGACACTTGTCGGGATGAGCACTGGGTGTCATACATCGGGGATGAATCACTGGAATCTACTCCTGAAATCATTATTGTGCTATATGCTAACTCACTTGAATGTAAATGAAGAATTAATTAATTAATTAAAGAAAATGGTGTTGGGCAGGGCCTAGCATGTTACCATGGTAAAAGACACCCTCTAAAGGCAGTTGGGGGAGGGGGGCACGGGGGACTTTCCAGTGTGAGAGAAAGGACCTCCCCGGAACAGTGTGGAAGGTGGGCTGGTGGCTCTTCCTATACCATCTGTGGGAGCATTCGGGAGACCAAATGGAACCGAGGGACATACACTGTGCAGTGCCCCCCCCCCCCCCATGGACTGAGGGGTGGAGAGCCGCTCACTTCTCTTTTGCAGTTGTGGGATAAACTAGAGGAGACCGAGAGGAAACAGGGGAGACCCCTGGACAGCCTCTGGAGGAATGCGAACAGTTATACTAATAACATGAAAATCTTGAATCGAGTACTTCCTTGACCTAGACCTTATCACTTAACCACCCTGGGAGGTGAGCACGCTTATCTCTAGGTTTTCTTAATTATTGTTTTAATTTTTTAATGTTTATTCCGTTTTGAGAGAGAGAGAGAGAGCATGAGTGGGACAGGGGGAGAGGGAGTCACAGAATCCAAAGCAGCCTCCAGGCTCTTAGCTGTCAGCACAGAGCCCGACGCGGGGCTTGAACTCACAAACTGTGAGATCCTGGGTTGAGCCACCCAGGGGCCCCATCATTACTCTAGTTTAGAGATGGGACTCCTGAAGCCCAGAAAAGCTAAATCAGGTCCCCGAGTTCCCACAGTGTCAGACCCAGGACTAAATGAGGACCTGCCCCCACTCAGCATAGGCAAAGGCCTTCCAAAGGGGAATCCAGGCTTTGCATTTACACCTGGACCAGCACAGTTCACTAGGGTCAAAGGCCAAGGAGGTCTTCTTTGTCATGAATTAGGCCATCCCCCGTCCACCAGCAGGGATCCTTGGGAAAACCAAAGGAGGGAGCAGGAAGCAGCCAGGTGTGGTGGGCTTTGCTTTGCTATGTTCCTTAGAATTCAAGACCAATGTGAGCCTATAGCCTGTTAACCTGGGGAGAAAGGGAAGAGAAGAAGCAAGTGTAATTCAGAGGCTGCAGCCCACTGACTAGTTTAGCGCTTCCTCTGCAACAGGCTGCAGATGGGAGGACTCATGATGTGGGCAAGAATAGGGTTGCATTTTTGTTTCGTTGCACTTGGACCAGATAGATTTGTCTAAGGGGCACTCGGGCAACTTGAGAGTCAGGATGCAAGGAGTTGATGAGGATGAATGACATTTCTCCCGGCCCCTTTTCTGTCCCTTCCATCTCCAATGGCTTGGCCTCCGAGGGCACAGATTCCTTAGAGCAACTTCTGAACAGAGCCTGGCCTGCTCTTCCTTGGTCCTTGTCATCAGTGTGGGGGACCTTCTGCCCCACGGAGCAAGACGTAAACACGGAACAAGAGCAGAGCCATCATCCGTGGCTCCAGGAACTCAGCTGCATAGTGGAAGGTTCTCCTTGATTCTGGGCTGGGCAGTTGACATCCATGTTGGCTCTTGCTTCACCTGCCTCTGAGATTACGGTGCAGCTTGAAGTGTACTGATTAATATCTAACCTCTTGACTGTCTCCCGTAGGGAAAGTCACACCATCACAAACATCAGAAGCTTTCTGGGGAGTAATTTACTTTCTGGTTCAGTACCTGGCGCATGGGGTGTGAGCTGTGACATTTCCAGCATGGGTGAGCAGGCGGGGAGATGAAGAGGGTCTTCACGGCCATCCTCAGGGCAACTAACCACATTCCTCATCCGGTATTTGTTTTCACGGCATCATCTGAGCTGTTGCAAAAGAGATTGCCATGAAATGTGCGAGCATTTTCTAAACCCTGGAGAAGAGGATGGTGTGTTTAGAGGTGCGGATGGTTGAGAAGTCCGTTCCAGGAGCTGAACCATTTGGGGTGACTCTGGCCTGGTCTCTGGACAGCTCTGGGACTGTGGATGACTCACTTTACCCTTCCATGCCTCGGTTTCCTTCTCAGCAGTGGGGGGAGTCAGAACACTTGCTTTACTTACAAAGTCCTAGGACATCTCTAAAAAAACCACCAACACTCTACAAAACACTGTTCGTGGCTCTAAATGCTCAAAATCCCTTCACTAATATGATTGCTGTAAAGTACACCTCCTTCTAAATGCTTTGTTGTGGTTTCAGGTGTAAAAACAAGACAATGGGTCCCAAATGGAGACACGCACTCTAAGCCCCACGTCAACAAATCGAGACTTAACTTAATTACATTTCAGCTGTCCCCAAAATGGAACCTTACATGAGTCAGGAATCACCAGATAGGCACTAGGCATGTCATCTGCCTGACAGACCCTGGTCATCCCTTAAGGGAAAGTGACCTTAGATCACCAACCAAGTTTTTGCCAGCAGGAAGTCTCTCATCTGTACAGCAACTCGGACACAGCTCCTTTCTTTCTGCTAGGCTGGATGCAGCCTGATTTTAAATCGACTTTTGCTTGGATGAACTCTTAAAAATTTTTTTAAATTTTTTTAAAAATATTTTTATTTATTTCTAGGAGAGAGAGAGAGAGACAGCATGAGCAGGGGAGGGTCAGAGAGAGAGGGAGACACAGACTGAAACAGGCTCCAGGCTCTGAGCTGGCAGTCAGCACAGAGCCCGATGCGGGGCTCGAACCCACGAACCGCGAGATCATGAACTAAGTGAAAGTCGGACGCTTAACCGACTAAGCCACCCAGGCGCCCCAAACTCTTAAAGTTTTTAATACGCCTCAGTTAATCTTGGAACACAGTTGCCCACCGGTATCTGTCTCGTCTCTATTACCTAGTGATGACCTCGTCTCCTTCCGCTTCCAAATGCAAAGGATGTTTGAAAGGAAGAGCTATAATCTGGGGTGTGTCTGTGCATGTGTGTGTGGACCTCTGTTTTCTAAGATTCCACAGAACCACCAGTAGGTTGAATTCTATATGTCCAACAGTAATAGTAATCTCTTTACTGAATACATAACAATAATTGCAGACCATGGAAATAGCTATTAAAAATTGATGGATCCAGGGGTGCCTGGGTGGCTCGGTCAGTCAAGTATCTGACTTCTCGGCCATGATCTCATGATCTGTGGGCCGGGCTCTGTGCTGACAGCTCGGACCTCGGAGCCTGCTTCAGATTCTTTGTCTCCCTCTCTCTCTGCTCCTTCCCCACTCATACTCCTCTCCCTTCTCAAAAAAAAAAAAAAAAATTTTTTTTTTTAAATTGATGGATTTGGGGGCACCTGGGTGGCTGAGTTGGTTAAGTGTCTGACTCTTTGTTTCGGCTCAGGTCATGATCTCATGGTTCGTGAAATCGAGCCCCGAGTCAGGCTCTGTACTGACAGCAAGCTTGCCTGGGATTCTCTCTCTCCGTCTTTCTGTCCCTCCCTTACACACACACACGTGCACACCTTCTCTCTCTCAAAATTAAAAAAAAAAAAAATTGATGGGTTTTTTTTTTCCAGGAATTTTCAATGAGTTAAAAACCTGCAGAAATATATTTGAACTGCAGTATGACTTTGAGTTTGTGACATGCATACACCAAGAGAAAAGGCTCGAATGTAACATAGGGTGCTTCTGCAGAGGGGTGAGTTTTGGGGGGATGGGTGCTGGGTTCTTTGGACACACTGTGGTGTGATATCGCCCGGCAGCGTGGTTTAAACTGCCAGGTCCAGGAGCCACCGATGTGGCTGAAGCTTCCTGCCCCCAGGAGAAGGCTGGCGTAACTGCTGATCAGATGATGGCTTCTCTGCATTTTTCAGGTTCCTCTGAGCAGCATATTTCTTTCTCCCTGTCAGAGCACTGATTGCATTATGTTGAGTGGTGTACTCGCAGCCTTTGGTCATCTTAATTAAAGCTCGTGAGGGAAGCCAAGAGAAGACATGGGTGAAGACAGACTCCTAAAGATGTAGAACAAACAACTAGATGACATGTGGGAAGAGGAAAGGGGGAGGGGACCGTTGTTTTTTCCAGCAAACATTTTTTTTAAGTTTATTTCTTTATTTTGAGAGAGACAGAGACAGCATGAGAGGGGGAGGGGCAGAAGAGAGAGAGGAGAGAGCAAGAATCTCAAGCAGGCTCCGTGAGCTGCCAGTCCAGAGCCAGACCTGGGGCTTGAACTCATGAAACCGTGAGATCATGACCTGAGCCGAAGTCAGGAAGAGTCAGACGCTTCACAGGCTGAGCCACCCAGGGGCCCCTCCAGCAAGCATGTAAGAGACATCCAGAAGTTGTGGGGGTGGGGCAGTTGACTCCATTCTGATCTGAGACAAAGGAGCTGACCTTGAGCACAGCCCAGCCAGAGACCCCTCAATGGGCCTGGCTCTGAAACCTTGCTCCACCATCAGCGAGGTGGTCCCATCTTTAGGGCCCCCAGAAGTGTTAGAAACGCAGGCTCCCCCTCTCTGGGGCATCACAACCTGCATTTGACAAGGCTGTGGGGTGTTTCGTGTGCATCAGAGCTGGAGCTCGGGTGGCTGCCCTCGAAGGGAGGAAGTGCCAGCAGCGCGGGGGGGGGGGGGGGGGGGGGGGGGGGGGGGGGGGGGGGGGGGGGGGGGGGGGGGGGGGGGGGGGGCAGCCTGTGAGGGCAGCGGAGGGTTGGCCAGACAGCCCGGCGGTGTCGGCCGCGGCTCCCGGAGCCAGAGAGCCGCACAGATAGCGGGCTTGGTTGGCACCTGCTCCAAGATGAACCCACTCAGTCAGGGTTTAAACCATCAAGTCTTAAATGATTGAAAGGTACTTATAATAATAACACAGGCTCTTGTGGTTCCTGCTAATACGACACAGGCATAATCAAGACTCATTCCCGTTCTGCTGCAGGAGGCGAAGTGCTCGCTTCTGAATTTATTCCCGCTGTCCAGGAAGAGGCCTTCACTGAACTTGATCTGCCCCAGGGAGGGGGAGGGTTGCTAACCTCTGAAGATTTTTCTCTGCCTTCTCTGTGGAAATCTGCCCCAGGCAACAACCCTGCTGCTGCTTCCAAGGCAAATGGGAGGAGAAACCTTGCCAAGTTTGGAGGGTAAGAGAGGCCAGCCCCTTCCCCATCTCTTAACACTTCTGGAAACTTCTGGGGACTTCCAGGGACAGAGTGAAAAGGCCTGTGTGCTCGGTGAACAGCTGCTTCCTGGAGTAATAGGTGTTTATATGCCACTGGCCCCAGGGCCCCAAAGGGCAGTGCAGAGCCCCTTTTTGCATTCCGTATCCCCGTCTCTTCAGGGGTCCAAGTCCATGTCCACAGCGAGGTCTTGCCACGAGCTCTGTCACCGCAGCCGTGACAGAGCAGAGAACTCAGCAGTCCCCTGGGGGGCGGGGCTCTGATAGCACGGGACAGCCTGCTTCCTTTCCCGATTTACTTGTGTAACCTTTTTTTTCTTTCTCTTTTTTTAAAAAAATGTTAACACTTATTTTTGAGAGAGAGAGACAGAGCACGAATAAGGGAGGGGCAGAGAGAGAGGGAGACACAGAATCTGAAACAGGCTCCAGGCTCTGAGCCATCAGCACAGAGCCGGTCATGGGGCTCGAACCCACAAACCGTGAGATCATGACCTGAGTTGAAGGCGGACGCTTAACCAACTTTGCCACCCAGGTGTCCCTTGTGTGACTTTTCTTAAAAAGATAAGGATGCCCTCCTAGGGGCAAGAGAGGTGTATGATTGAGTCATAATGTAGCACTTTACCTTTGAGATCTTTATCGTTTCCATTTCTGTCCGCCATGTCAGGACCGCCTCAGAAAGGCAGGTTGGGGCGCCCTGGGCCCCTGAGAGCACCTGAGGATGTGGGTTCTGCCGACAGGTGGACTTCTAAGTCCCAGAAAGGTGAGAGGTGGGCTGCTCCCACACAAAGCAGGGGGGGCTGAAAGCCGGGGGGAGGGCACCGAGTGTCCCTGCCCTCAGCATCACGGTCCTGCGTCGCGTGCAGGGCTCTGACATCTTCTCTTTGTGAGGCAGAAACTCCCTGGGAAGCCAGCTTTCTCGCTGAATGCGGATAGTTCCAGAGAACCTGACTCCATGTGGCCTGTCCTCCTTCCCTAGCCCCAAGCAGGTGGCCCAAGCCTGGTCTTTCCATGAGGCAGAAGTGCTAAAGGGCAGGGGAAAACCTGGGAAGATTCCAGAAGAAGAGAAAGTTCTGGAAAGTGAGCCCCATTGAGTCCTGGTCCCAGGGCGATGGGTCCTGAGCCCTAACCCCTGAATTACAGAATCAGCCCTCCACCACATTTTCCTCTGGGGGCTGTGCCCCAGGAGGGGAGCCAAGGTCTCAGTTCCCCAAATGCACCCCCGCCCACCAGCCCTCAAAGCTCCTGCATCACCCAGCCATCCAGGGAACCTTCCATGGGCTGCGCTCCACAGACTGTTCTCACCAGAATCCCTGTGGTCTCATCTGGAATCTCCTATGGCCTGACCTGCCTTCCCCACCCCACCCCCCATCACCAGTGAGACTTGGGCCAAGCGTGACCTTGAGCGCCTTTCCCCAGCCATTTTCCTGCAAGAGAGGATTCCCTCTTCCCCTTCCACTAGGGCCCAAGGTCCCGCATGCCAGGGGCGGGGAGTCAGCTCTGAGCACTTCCGGACCCTGGACTCTGGAATTCGCATGGAGTTCATTTGTGTGGTAGCTCAAGGTTGCTCACGTCCATGTTAACAGGGTTCCACTTCCTAATTTTGAAGGGCACCATACTCTACAGTGCAGCATTTACAGTGTGCTACCGGTCAAAGCTTCTAGCCCTCTTATTCTTTTTTTTTTTTTATGCTTTATTTTATATTTGAAAGAGAGAGAGTGCCCGCGCAAGCAGGGGTGGGGCAGAGAGATGGAGACAGAACCCGAAGCAGGCTCCGTGCTCGGAGCTGTCAGCACAGAGCCCGACGCTGGGCTCCAACTCAAAAGCAATGAGCCGAAGTCAGACGCTTCACCCAATGAGCTACCCAGGCGCCGCTTCCTTTTTTTTTTTTTTTTTTTTTTAACTTTTTTTCTAGCCCTCTTATTCTTTGATGACCACATTTTTCTTTTCCCCATCCTCTAGCTCTTTGCTCTCACTGGGAATGTCTGCCAACTTCAATAAAAACTCATTTTTACTTCTATAATCTACTTGCTTTTTTCCGTAATGATTGTTAGCTTTTTGTTAGAGCTTCTAAATGTTTCTATGGTTTCTAAACGTCTTACCTCTGTTCAGCCATTTTGATACTTCTTGGAACTTTTGAATTTTCAATAAGCAAATAGGTACTCACATTTGCATAAAGTCCTTCAAATGAGCAGAGACGATTACAGGTCTTAGAAATACTTTTTATGCGCCGTGGTAAATTCAGAATCAGCGACATGCTTAGAGTTACATGCGACAGAATTCCTAAGTTCAAACTGCAAAAACGTTCGGTAAGAGCGTGAACACATACAATTCACATGTAAGGTGTCTGTGCTCCTATCCATGTGAATAGTCATGAATAGGTGTGGACTTGGCCATGATCACGTGAAAGCTGTGCTCTGCTGAAGATTGGGGCAGCATAATTGCCATATGCGTGGATGACCGAAATCCTTCCTTCCCAACATAACTGGCCTGTATACTTCACAAGTGATGATCGCATAAAAAGCACACTCAACCTGGGGTGCCTGGGTGGCTTAGTCGGTTAAGCGTCCGACTTTCGCTTAGGTCATGATCTCGTGGTTTGTGGGTTCGAGCCCTGCGTCGGGCTCTGTGCTGACTGCCAGCTCAGAGCCTGGAGCCTATTTCGGAGTCTGTGTCTCCCTCTCTCTCTGACCCTCCCCTCCTCACGCTGTCTCTCTCTCTCTCCTAGAAATAAATAAAAAATAAAAATTTTTTAAAAAAGCACACTCAACCGAAGTGTGGGGAAATATGTCATTGGCTTACTGTTCCATTCCACAAATACTAGTGGAAGCCGTTGGCGTGTTAGTGTGTTAGTGTCAGGACCATGCGCTGGTATGTTGGGGGGCCCTGTCTGATTTCACGGGACAGAGACAGCAAGGCATAGAAAGGTTCAACTTGTTTATTTCAAAGATGTCGGCAGGTAGAAAGAAAAGAGGAAATCCGTGCACACACTTCCCTGAGGCTGCGCGCAGTTTATATCCTTTAAGCCTCATGTCTGCTGATCGACACGTAGGCTTGAAATCGGCTCTGGCACCATCGTCGTCACCCTCCTGTCTGTCCTTCTCCGTGTCCCACTTCCTGCTAAATGTCTGATCTCTCCCCTCATGCCTTCAGCTAACCACTCCTCTTATGGGTTCTCTGGTCTTGGCCCCTAATGAGTAAAAGCGTCCAAAAAAGCATCCCTAGTTTCAACTGTCTGAAAGAAGAGCTTCGTGGCTCCAACAGTCGTCGACCAGCATGGGTGGAACATTGCATAGGCTGTTGCTGCTGGATTGAGAGACGCATACTTCTGGAACCTTCTGTTCACTCTCTGGGCTTCATTCTATGAGAGAAAATACATGTTCTCGGAGCGCCTGGGTGGCCCAGTCTGTTGCGAATCTGACTTCGGCTCAGGTCACGATCTCACCGTTGGTGAGTTGGAGCCCCCCATCAGGCTCTGTGCTCTAAGCGCAGAGCCCGCTTTGGATCCTCTGTCCCTGCCTCTCTCTCTGCCCCTCCCCCACCCACTCACTCTCTCTCAAAACTAAATACACATTTTTTTAAAAAATCCACTATTAAAAAAATTCACATTCTTATTGCTTAAGCAAACAAGTGCATTCTGCTGGCAGGACATTCGTTTCCGGCTGTGCCTCTCCTACTAGCGACCACCCATGTGTGGGTCCTGCTGGGCTGATCATGTACAAAGGGGGGTGAAACCATCCCTGGGGAAGCCGCGGGAAGCTCAGTGCTCACTGTCAATGCGAGGCAGAGCGGTTACCACTGCTCATGCACCACCCCCCCTACCCAGGGAGGGAAGCTCGGAAATAATTAAGAAGGGCTGGAGGTGTTCTTTTTCATGAGCTCACAGACCACTTACATGATAGTTTCACCGTCTCTTAGGCCTCCTTTCCTCTGCATGTAGACTAGCTAAAGGGGATATTCTGAAACTATATTTCCATCAACCCAGACAGACCCGGACCTTTTCCCAGAGGGGAAAAAAAAGACTTCTTTCTAAAAATTACCTCTTGCTAACCTCTCTATTGCAGGCTGGTCAAAGTCATGTTTGGTTTGCAGTAATAAAGAACAGTTTAACTGGAGGCCCTTAGCCCTGGAGTTCAGAGGTTAACAATGAGTTAGCTGCTGCTACTGCTGGACCTTCCTTGGCCCACAACTCCCGCTATTTGGTTTGGGAGCCAATTTTCTGGGTACCCACCCCATCGGAAGTGATTAAACAGTTCTCTCTGCACTGGTTAATTTTATGCGTCAACTTGGGGAAGCTATGGTGGCCCAGATGCTTGGTGACCCAGTAGTGTAGACATTGCTGCCAAGGTATTTATTTAGATGGGATTAACATTAAAATCAGCCAGCTTTGAGTAAAACAGATTAGCCTCCATAATGTGGGTGGGCCTTGTCCAAACAGTTGAAGACTTTAAGAGAAGAAGACTGAGACTCCCCGAGGAAGAAGGGAAGGGGTTCTGCTTCAGACTGCCTTGAAACTCCAAGTGCAACATCACCTCTTCCCTGAGTCTCCAGCCCATCTTACAGAGTTTAGGCTTGCCAGCCCTCACAATCACAATTCTTGAAAATAAATCTAACTACACACACACACACACACACACACACACACACACACACTCACACACACACAGCCACCACACACATGCATCCACACCGTCTTGATTCTGTTTCTCTGTAGAATTCTAACACATAACCCAACAACATTTTCCCTCTTGAAATTATATTTAACCCAAGATAACCATGAGATTATTCTCACATCAGACAAGCCCCAGTTGGAGGACATTCTATAAAACACCTGACCAGTACTCAAAACTGTCAGGGTCACTAAAATCAAGGAAAGTCTGAGAACCTGTCAAGCCAAGAGGATCCTAAGAAGATGTGACAATTGGATGCCATGTGGGGTCCCGGACAGGATCCTGGGGCAGAAAAAAGGACATTAGTAAAAACTAAGGAAATATGAGTTAAAGTCCGGTCTGTAGTTAATAATAGTGTATCAATATTAGTTCATTTGTTGTGATAAACAAATCATAGTAACACAAGATATTCATAATAAAAGACGGGATGTAGATTATATGGGAATTTTCTGTGCTTTTTTTTAACAACGTTTCTGTAAATCTAAAACAATTTTAAAATAAAAAGCGTATTTAAATTATTTTTTATTCTATGTTTTTATTTTAGAGAGAGAGAGAGGGTTAAAGCGCAAGCAAGGAAGAGGGGCAGAGGGAGAGGAGCAGAATCCCAAACAGACTCCACATTGAGTGCAGAGCTGAACACGGGTCTTGATGTCATGACCGTGGGATCATGACCTGAATCGAATTAAGAGTCAGGTGCTCAACCAACTGAGCCACCCAGGAAGCCCTAAAAAGCATATTTTAAAAATATATTTATTACCTTAGTTTCCATATGTGTAATTCATTTTAAAAATGTGTATGAATAAGAAAATACTGTATTTTAAAATATACTTCCTGCTTTACTTTTTCATACGTGTAATTTGTTCAGAAAACGTGTCTCAAAATGAACGAGGGACCTGCCTGGGTGGGGGTGTGAGGGACTAACAGTCAGCCAGAGACAACACCGGGGCACACAGGTATATGTGTGAGGGGCCTTGGACAGCAAAGAAGAGGTGATCTTCTATGTAAAGTGGTCCAGAAGGTTCCCGGAAGGAGTGGAAGGATAAGAGGAAACAGGCTCAGCAGATGTGCTGGAGCGAGGTCGGGGGAGGTGCAGGGACAGTGATCCAGGCAGAGGGAACAGTATGTGTGTGGCCTCTTAGCAGGACAGAGAAGACCTCTTGGGGAAACTGAACAAGGCCTGTGTGCCAGTGGGGAAGGGAGGGTGTTCAGAGATGCAGAGAAAGCAGGCAGGCGCAAGGCTTGCACTTGACCTTTCTCGGTTTGGAATGTTTTTTTCACCTGCACAGGAAGCCATCCTAGAGTGACATAATCTAATCTACCTTATAAAATACATTTGTTCATGGGGCGCCTGGGTGGCTCAGTCGGTTAAGCGTCTGACTTCGGCTCAGGACATGATCTCAGGGCTCGTGAGTTCAAGCCCCGCGTCGGGCTCTGTGCTGACAGCTCAGAGTCTGGAGCCTGCTTTGGATTCTGTGACTCCCTCTCTCTGCCCCTCCCCTGCTCATGCTCTGTCTCTCTCTCTCTCTCTCAAAAATAAAATATACATTTAAAAAAATAAAATAAAATACACATTCATTATTGAAACTTTAACATGTACAGAAAAAGATAGAGAAGAAACATCTGTGGTCCCTCGATTTTGAAATAATATGTGTTAGCTTGTTGGCATATTTCCTGCCTTCTTTTCATTTTGATGTTTTCTTGTTTTTTTTTAAAGTATATATTAATATACAATGACGGTTTTCCCCAAACCTTAAAGTCTACAAAGTCATCTGTCTGCATAACATTCCAGTACATAACTATGCTCTAATTTATCTAGCTGTTTCACTGTTTTCTCTTGTTTTCACCATTACAAATGGCATTAGGATGGGCCTTCTTATGTGCAAAGCTGTTCTATCTATAGTAACTTTATTGCGGTCACTGTTAGCTCTGCTTGACAAAATCCTGGAAACATGTGTTTCACCGTGTAATACAATGTGCCCATTTAAATAGCTCCTACCAACTGGACTGGCCTCTTGTTTAGGCCCCAGATTTCGATTCACAAGGCCTTGTACACGCAGCCAT